GGAGAGGAGTGGGGGGGTTTATATTGTAATAAATTTTTAAAAACTTTTAATAAAAAAATATTTGAAAATATCTTTTCTGTTTGAATTGAATCATACCTATGATTTCTTTCTGAAATAGCTGTTTTTCCTGTCTCTCTGTATCCATAATTTCCATAGATAGATTGCTTATTGGCATGAAAACAAGTTCGCACCAAATACCTCCCATTCCATTCTTTTCTGCACACACACACTATAACACTTGACTTGACTTTTTAACTTAACTTCCCAATATGCTTTAAAATCACTTGTTATCAAATAGTCTTAAATCAAGCTGGTATGCAAAGCCTATCCCACATGATAGAGAAGAGGTTCTATAATATGACAATGAGATGCAAAAGACATTTTTACTATTGCAACATTTCAAGATAGCACATGTTACAGTTTGGCAGGATAACTTTAGTGGGTGTAATATATAGCCATCTGAATGATTAATGAAAGTTTATGAACTGTACTGAAGTAAGCATGAAGGCCACAAAATTGCCTAATACAATTCATAATAACTGCCAAAAATGTATCTAGGATATTATCAATATTTTTGGACATATAAGAGCTCTTCATGGAAATGGTGGCCCAGGTTAAAAACTAGATTATATAATCTCAGTTACCTCAGAGCTACATGCTGTTGTTATTCTGCTCTTCAATAAACTACAATCTTCTTTCTAAAGCAATCTCCATTTTGTTTATTCCCAGCTTGGACTGTACCCCGATGAAGATTTTTCTTTCAACAATAGCAAGAACTGATAACAAACAAAAATAGAACAAAAATACATAGAAAGAGATAAATGAAAGAAATACCTAAAAGTGCAAAATGATGTTAAGATAAGGAGTTTCTGAACTTCTTCAGAGTGATTAAAAGCATTATTATATTTTAACTTTTCTCTCTAAATTTACATCATGAATCTTTTCTTTCTATAATCTATCCTGACTAATCGTCAAAGCCATACTCTTAATTTCTTTCTTCTTATGCAAAAAGTTCATAATGGATTTCCAGTCACCAATAAATGTAGATATTGTATTTTCACTAACCAAACAAATCAATTTAACCATTTCAGCAAGTTTTGTCATCTTCCAACCATTCCTTCATTTTAGTATTGTTAAATCCTTCCATCTTTGTGCATACAATAGTCTTGCTGTATTTTTCACATAATGTGATATGGAAAGAAATATAAAAAGGACATATTAAGATGGGTGCCACAATTATTACTGGTGGAGAGAATTTCTGTGATAAAGATGAATGTTCTGCTAGTTATATCTAAGTTATGTATGGCAAGGGAAAAAGCCACAAATTAAAGATAACCTGATCTGAAATTTCAATTAATATTCCCTCCAAAGTTCATATCTCCCAAAGCTATAAAGAGAAAGTCCAGTTCAAATTGTCACAGGCCTTTTCTGTATCTAAGAAAATCAGTGCAGTTGTTTTTCATTACGTTGCTCCAAATATTCCAAAATGTCTAACACATTTCTAATATTAACCTTTAATGGTCTTTTAGGAAAAAAATCCACATTGCTTTCCATGAATAAATTTTTGCAAAATAATTTCAATCTCTCAGTCAAAATTACTGTAAACAATTTATAGTTATTTTTCAATAATTGTATTAGCCAACAGGTTTTTTTTTTGTTAAAGTCAAATGTTGGCCTTCTTTAGGTATTAATGTTCATTAATGCTATGTTAGTCTCTTTCCAGCTATCCAGTATCTTTCCCTTCTATAAAGTAGAATTTATTATATTTTGTAAAGATTGTAAAGTTCACCCTTAAAACATTTGTATGAGAAGCTGGTAAACCATCTGATCCCGGCTCCTTTTCTGTTTTTGTCTTTTTTTATAGCTTCACAAGCTTGCCTTATTTTTATAGGCCTGTTCATAATTTATCTTTGTTTCTCTGTAATCTTAATATGACATCCAGTTTGGTGTAATGGTTAAGGCATTGGGCTAAAAACCAGGAGACCAGGGATTCTAGTCTCACCTTTGTCACAAAGTCAGCTGGGTGAACTTTGGCCAATCTTTCTCTCTCTCTCAGCCCTAGGAAAGAGGCAATGGCAGACCACATCTGAAAAGCCTTGTCAAGAAAATTGCAGTGACTTGTCCTGGCAGGCTTCAAGAATAGGTCACAATTGAATGGTGAAAATAATAATAATAATATCATTTTCTTGTCTTTTTCTTTTCATAATTTGTATGCCAACCATTTGCAATTTGCCAAACTGATCTGCAAACTTTTTTTAAATTTTATTTTCCTTTCTGTTACTGTTAGCACAGACAATTGCTGACTGTAGAAGCTTAATTTTTTGAGCAATATTTCTAGCTCAGGAAATTTCTTATTTGTGTATCAGTTTTGTTTCTGAATGATGGAACTAATGAGTTCCCTAATATCTTCCCTCTAATCCAGACATGTCAAACACAAGGCCCGGGGACAGATGCGGCCCGCAAAGTGGTTTCATGTGGCTCGCGAAACCATCCTGGAAACAGTGGGGGAAACGGCCCCCACTGCCTTGGCCCTGGCCCAGGCCAGCCGGGAGCCAATATACAATTTTGTGGTGGCCATCTATGCTGAAACACAATCAGTCTTAGCTCCACAAGGCCATCTGGAAACAGCGAGGAACCAGCCCCTGCCGTGTCAGCCCCACCCCCTGGGTGCATGCTGGAGAGGTGTCACCCTTTGTGAGGAATAAAGAAATGCACCATCGCCTGGAAGTGGCCAGCAAATGGCCCTCACCTATTTCACATACTTCTGGGGGATGGGTTTCAGCAGGCAGTGGGGCGCTCTCCTCACAGCATCTAGAGCTGAACTGGATGGTGTGAATCTGTTGAGAAATGCAATGCTGGTAGCCCCCAGCCTGCCCAGTTTCAGCAGGCAGCAAGGTGCAAAGCTGGTGAGCTTTGCACTGCCTGGCTCAACCTCTCAGCGCTGTGAGGACAGCACCCTGCTGCCTGACAAAACCAGGCAGGCTAGGGGCTGGGTGGCATCGCACTTCTTTTTGGATTTGCGTCGCCTGGTTCAGCCTCTTGGTGCTATGAGGAAAGCGCCCTGCTGCCTGCCAAAACTGGGCAGGCTGGGGGCTGGGCGGCATTGCGCAGGTAACGTTGACTCTCACGCTGCTCATGGCATCCCCTCTCCCAGAGCCCACCAAGCCAAATATGTGAAGTAGGTGAGGGCCATGTGCTGGCCACTTCCAGGCGATGGTGCATTTCTTCATTCCTCACAAAGGGTGACACCTCCCCAGCTGCCTTTCTTGTCTGTTTTTCTCCCTCCCTCATCTCAAATATTTTCCCACCACTCTGTACTTAGGAAGGAAGAAAGGAAAGAAGGAAAGAAGAAGAGGGAGGGTCTGAGGAAAGTCCTGCCTTAGTCCTGCCCTGCTGCCCTTTCACCATCCCCTTGCCCCCTCCTCCTGGCCTATCCTGGGGGGTCTCCCATCCTATTGCTAAGGAAGCTTTGGATACAAAGCTGGGTCTCCTCCCATGGAGAGGGAATGGGCCTCCCTCTGACTTTGCCCTCATACCCATCATGAGTAACCTGGGTAAGGAGAGCAAGCACAGCAGCAGCAGCCTTGAGGAGCAGGTAAGTGCAGCTGGGCGCCCCTTTGGAGAAGTGGGGCTGGGCTTGGTGCCACGAGTGCTTGAGGGCCAGGCTGGGCATTTGACCTCTGCTATCCAGGGCTCCCGGCAGCCTGCATCACCATCCAGCCCCCCCCCCGCATGGCCTGAGAGGAACAGTGAGGCTCCTCCAGCGAACCATGCCTTAGCACTTGCCCTGGTCCCACCCCCTTCTGCCAGAGATCCTCAGATCTGTCCCACTCCTGCCCAGGCCCCCATAGACACCCTTGACGTGAATGATGTAGAGCTGGTCACACCCATCCAATAGCCCACACCCACTCCATCCATGCCCACACAGTAGGCCGCATCCACTCTGGCCACCCCCCCACACTGCTGATGTGGCCCTCAATGAAATTGAGTTTGACACCCCTGCTCCAATCTTTTTCTCCAAGATTCAATTGGCAACTCTTGGAGATTCTCAGCTGCAATTGCTTAAGGTGATAGCTTTACATTCCTAATCAACCCACATCAAGGCCAACAGGGTGAGACAGACAGACCGATATATAGCTATACAAACATGCTCATTTATACATAATATTCACCTGACAGCCAAAATATTATTCTAATTATAATTGTAGATTATAATTGCCAATTAAGGTTATCACGTTAATGAAAGTACATTAGAAAGTACATTAGAAGTACATTAGAAAGTAATAGCCCTATGGAATGTTGAAGTATTAGTTACTTAAATTAGTTACATATCTAGGTATTCTAAAAAAAGTAAGTTGAACTATTTTTTCTGTAACAAATTTATGGTGATTAATACTGCCAGAGAATAAATCTAGGTTTTGTTGCTTCTTTCTTTTGGCTGTTTTCAGAAAGCAGTTTGCCTACCTATTTATAAGCATTTGTTCTTCATGCTGATTTTATTTATTTATTTATTCAATTTCTAAGGACACCGATCTCAGCCAAGTGATTTTAAGCAGCTTACAATTCTTAAACTATAAAACAGTTAAGACAATTAAAAATGAGAAAAATATACAGCAGCCAAGAGAGTTAACCAACTAACAGTAAAGCCAAGGAACAGGGCCTTAACCCATTCAGAACCCAGGTATTCAGCCATTTTTTAAAGCCTTACAAAGGGCCAACTGGTTCGGGTCTGACTGGTCAGTAGGGTTATGTTAGCCCAAAAATTCCCTTGTTCTGTTGTAATACGGTTTGATCTCATGGATTGTAGTTTGTAGCCCTTCTCATTAGTTATAATATCACTGCATGATCCTTTTGAGCTAATGTGCCAAGAAAAAAGAAAAGGCATTCTCTTTAGGGTAGGAGAAATGTGATGGCAGAACAGGAAGAAAAAATAAAGGTCCCATAGCATCAGTTTCTTTTTAAAATATTTTATTGTCCAAAGAATTGTTCAAGCCTCTAAATCTGAAAAATGTATTGCCATCCTAAATAAACCACAGCTCTATTGTAATTTAAAATGCACATCTTTATGGAACATCAAGTCAACATCAACTCTTAGTGACCACACAGATATAAATTATTTAGGAGACTTTGTCCCCAACCTGGCCTTTCATGTCTTCCAATGGTACACCTATTGCCATTGCCATTCTACTTCCAATTCCATTCCAATTTAGTCCATCCATCTTACTGATGGTTATCTTCTTCTCCACCTTTCCAGCATTAAAGATATTTCCAAAGAATTAGGTACTTGCATAATGTGTTTCAATAAATCACACATATTCATACAAATAACAGGGCATATGACTGAATTTATGAAAATGATATCGTCAAATATCTTTTTACACCATTGGTTCTTAACTTTTCATATCTTAAGTCCCACCAGGCAATTAAAAGAAACTGGATTCCAGCATGATCAAAACAAAAGGCCTTTTTCCCCAAGAGTATTTAAATCTATTATTACTATGTTAATATATTGATATTTAATATATTAATTGGTTAATTAAAGTTTCAGTGACTTAAATCAATTAATGTTTCATTGACTTAGATTTCTTCTGAATTTCACTTGTGATACAGATACTAATAAGAAAAAAAAATTGTCCTACATTACAGGCTTCTACAGCATCCAGTGCAAAGGATGCTATGGCTGGTATGCCTACATTTATGGAGATTTCATACAATTCCACTAAAGTGAAGGGTAACTAAATATGGCTATTTGCATGGATATGGGTAGTAAGGTCATATAAAAGTAATGGGTTTGTAGCTAGATGTATGGTTTGAAGTATCATCCATGCACAGCGTGTACTCTATCTAGAAAGCCAGAAACACAGCTCAAGGTTGTCCTGATAGTTCCAGTGAAATGCCTAAGAGAACTTTCACTAACTTATATTGGTTCACCAACTGCAAATCTAATTTAATTATATTACTGCAATATTTTCTGTTTGGAACTGTCTTTAAATGTGCTTTCACAACCTTCAGCCAGTAAAATATGCTGCTGACAGGTTGGCCATTTAGAGCATATTTGCACTTTTAGAAATTGCTTATAAGTATGGATTACCAACCATTATGGGAGGGCAGAAATGGTTGGGATCATCCTCTATTCATCCCAAGCCCACCACAAATATGATCCCACTCAATATACTGAAAGCAGCATTATACTGGCTCAAGCATTGTTGCCCAGTTGGCCTGTTGCACTTTACTTTCTGCTAGATATAATCCTGCATTTTGATAGGTTCCTGTGCTCAGTCGGAGAAAGCAATTTCACATGAGTCAACAGTTGCCTTCATGCTGTTCTCCAAGCTCTTCTTTTCGGTTATAGTTGCTAATAGTCTTGAGTACTGCAATGGTTATAATATGTGCCTGATATGGGAAGGATCACTGGTTTGAAACCTAAGAGAAACAAAGAAACAAAAAAGTATTATTTTTCTTTCCCTGAGCTGGTCACTTTTCCCCTGGACATCTTTTCAACAAGTTCATTGGTGCACTATTGAAATGCAGCAACTTCCTCCCCCCCCCCAGTGCAGATAGCCAAATCAATCAGTCTTTTGCAGTATTTGCTCACTTGGAATACTTGAAAGCTGGGATTGAATCATTCCATCTTAATTGCGAAGAAAATCAATGGAAAAATGAACTGGTGAACTTAAGACTTGGAAAGAAGGTAATCCCCTATAACAGTGATAGCGAACCTTTTAGAGACCGAGTGCCCAAAAACTGACCCTGCCCCTCCTTCACCCCCTGCCCTACCCCTGCTCCACCTCCACCCCATCCCCCACCCCACCTTCCCTCAGGGCCACTCGCCGCCTCCAGGGTCCATCGCAGATTGCCCAGGCAGCCCAGCAGTGTCAGGGTGGTCATGCCCTCTGCCTGCGCCCCGCAGCATCAACTGTGCAGGATGGGGCATGAGGGCAGAGTCTTGTCTATGCTGCCTGGCTGCCATGTCCTTGGCTGTGCTGCTCCGCGTGGGCCACGCTCAGGGGCTACTCTCCTCCAGGGGGGCTGCTGATGAGGAGGGGGTCATGGGGGGAGGTGAGGCTGAGGCAACGGCATGTGTGCCCACAGAGAGGGCTCTGAGTGCCGCCTATGGCACACGTGTCATAGGTTCGTCACCACTGCTCTATAACCTTAGAGAGGTGGGATAAAATATGAATGCAGAGAACTTCAGAAGTCACTAGTTTACATGTTTTTCTTTTCTTTCTTTTCTGTCTCTTTTTTATTTCTTTCTTACTTACATTTAATATAATTGTGGGGTCTGGCCAGGAGAAAGCTGGATTTTAAATCTCTTATTTCATTTTCAGCATTTAAGTTTTAATATGTTGCCAGCTAAGCGATGGAAAGGCTGTAAGGTATCTTTGTTGGGCTGTGCTTAGGGCAGTAAGCTATGTATTTGATTACTTGCAAGTTGCTGCTCCTACTATATCTATTCTTCTTGTTCTTTGCATTACTCCTGTCCTGTCAGGGGCTCCACAGTTTAGCATCTCGCCTGCCACTTGGTCTGATCTGCAGCATCTCTTATGTCTGCATCTCAAGTGTTGTGTCAGGTTTGATGCACAATGATGCAGCATTGAAATCTTGGCCAACTTGTCACAGCATCTGATGCCTACCCTTTCCGGCAGTGGCAAAAATTCCCTCTATAATCATTATGATGTAATAATGATCAATTTGTGCTGAAATTTGTCTATGAAACGTGAACTCGTATGACTGCTAGTAGGAGCAAAATGCAACAGATAATGCATTTTAGATTTCAATGAGAGTTAAATTTAAATAGTGGATGAAAAAAATGGGTTATTTGAATTATATTGGTAGCTTGTATGCAATCCTATCTTCCCTTAAGTTAGCAGCATTAAACTAACCTCTGTAAGAAAAAAAACAAATTATAAGCATTACATAAAATGAAAATGAAATGCCATAGAGTTAAAAAGAAGTATAGATCCATTACAATTGGGCACTAAAGTGGTTTATTCATGAATTAAAAACTTTAATGTGCTCTAAATCAAAGAAAATCCTGAATATTTCCTGGCATCACCTTCAATAACCCCCTCTCTCCCTCACAATTTGAGGTTTCTTGCCTTTTGCTGGGTGGTTTCTCTTCTTTCTTTCACAAACACCATTCTTTAGAAAACCTTCAGACAAATTTACATTGTTTCACAGAGGTGGGATAACTGAACAAATTCCCATAAACTATAGCTTGCTAACAACTAATAGCTGTGATCTCAAACAAATCTAGTCATGATGAAATAGAGAAACCAATAAAGCAAACAGAAAAAAACCCTCTCATTCAGCAAGAAATCTAATACAGTTCCATAGCAAGTAATCAATAGCTTGAATAAGTACACAAACTGGACCTAAATTGCCATCCACTTATTCCTTGTAGAGCAGAACTCTCAAGAAGGAAACTTGCCAATATCTGCCAGGTAATCCATAAAGTGGAAAAACAATAATATGTTGGCAAAAGGAATATATCTTTCATCAACATCCATTGATTCTGACAAAAAAAGTTTTTTTTTCTTTTATGGTTGAAAATATAAATTTAGCATAGTATCCAGTATTTCTTGAGGGGATAAATCATAATCAGCAAAATATGAGAAAGGCTAGGCTAAAGAATAAAACTTACACTGCATTTTCTAATGTTGTCCTGCAATTTTGCAATAAATACTCTATGATTTTCTTAGCTCATATAACTGAATCAAATCATGCTTGAAGGTATCTAATTAAAAAAAGCCAGGCTGGACTGCACAAAGTAATATCTAGTACTGTCCTGTTGCTTTTTTCCCTTTTTATTTGCTGTATGTATCATCACAAAAATTATATCTTTCTGTTGTCACTACATGGAGCTAAAATCTTAATCCAACAACTTTCCCTTTCCCCTTTGAACTTAGATTACAGCTTGTGTTTCTGTCTGAGCAGCTCAGCCTTCCTTGTCATTAAATTAAGGCAGCCAGTTAATTTACAGTTTTTACAGGAGGAGCATGTAACTTCCAGCAGCTCAGAGTTCATAATTAGACAACGCTGTACATAAAATGATCCCTGCCTCCTGGGACTTGCCAAATGTAAATTATCTGGCAGAGGAGACCCGCATCATACCTTGTCTGCCAGACCTGATGGAGCAGGCAGAGGTAATCTGGGAAAGGTGGTCCCTAAAATAACCCAAGATAACCCAAGGTCAAAACCATCACCATGAATTAAACTGAGTTGGATATGGATGCAGATTGGCAACCAATGCAGCTGACAAAGCAGAGGTGTAAATGTGTACCAATCTAGGATACAGATAACTGCATTTTGCACCAGTGGCATTTGTATCCAGCTGAAGCTTCTAAATACACTTCAAGGGCAGCTCCATGTAGAGTGCATTACAGAAATCCAAATTGGGGGGGGTAGGGTGAAGTTACTAGGGCAACGGCATCAAAGAGCTCAGGCAGGGAAGTTGCTTTGCCACAAAGAGGCTGGTACAAACAGCAGCAGACTCAACTAATATATGGGGTGGGTGGGTTATGACATTTTCTACAATAAAAGAATTTATAAGCTTTGGTCAACCTAGAACTGTGGGCAAAATCATATAAATATAGAATCCAGAGGATAACTGTATCCCAATCTACTAGTTAATAAATTTGATCTGATAAAAATAAAAACCAAATAAAATTGTGCACTACATTCAATCCCAGGCATGCTTTCTGTTAATTGCCTTGAAGGTTGTCCACAGTCTTTATATTTTGCATTTATATCCTGTTTTAGTCATCCCATCTGTTTTGATAATAGACAAAAAAAATATTTCTTTTTAACAGCATTTTATGTAACAATATCTCCAAAACTGCTAAAATTGTATATTATGGTGAAAAAGTTCAGAATTTCTCTCTTTATCATTTGATTTTGGTTATAAAAAAATGATTTCCTTCTAAAATGTCTACCTAACATCCATTTCTAAATTGATTATAGAGTCTTTTTGGAATGAGAAGAAGCAAAGCTGGAATGCCATGTTAGCATTTTTGTTTTCACGTCCTCTTTATCACCAGCCAAAGAATGTGCTTTTCATTTATACCTACCTGGTATTTTACATGGGTTGACAAACACTTCAGTGCATTTAAAGAAATGAAGATGTATCGTGGTAATGATATGTTATTTTTCCCACACCCTTACCTGCTACCACGTGAAGAGTGATTTAAATAATCTTCCAAGGCATGTAGGTGAGTAGGTAAGTCAAGCACTGTGAATGGATGGCATAGGAGGAAGAGATTTTTTTTTTTAGAAATCTCTAAATCCAGATACAGAAAATTAAATCCTATTTCATTAATTGTAATTGCATTTTCTGTAAATATATTTTCAGAATTAAAGAGCTCCATAAAAAATGTATAAACAAAGAATTTATTTTCTGAAAATATTTTCCAGATATATAAATTCAATTCCTGTCAGAATATAAATTAATCTGGGAATAATATTAATTTTGGGAGTTTTCACCTTTCCCTAAACAGTGAGGTTTAATTACTCCCATCTAGTGATATATGAAGAAATCTCTCTATATTGTATTTATATTATATGCTACTAACTGAGTTTTATTATTTGGTTTACACATACCTAAATATTTAATAGATTTGGTACAAATATAGATTTGATATTGATATTGATTTCGAATTGAAAATTGATACTGATATTGAAACAAACAAATATTTTTTTTGTCTTTGTGTGCATGGAAAACATTAGAGAGGGAGGGAAAGAAGAGGAACTGGACAACTGAGAGATGTTTCCATCCCCAGTGAATAAGACACCATGTTTGCCTAATCAGAGGTTTTGGAGAATAATTTGTTATTCCCTTCTATGCTCTTTCTTTCTTCTTTCTCAGCTAATAGGAATGTATGAAAAACTTTTATGAAATTACAGATGGGACTTACACTTTTTGGTGTTGCCAAAGGAGATTTTCAAAATACAATTGGACTTCCCTGGTTTTTTCTTTGAAAACATTTCGCTTCTCAGCCAACTGAAAAGGTTCTTGGATGTTTTCAAGGGGAAAAAACCCAAGAAAGTCCAGTTGTTTTCTGAAAAGCACATTTGGAACAACCATGACCTGAATGATTGAGAATCTCCAGACATTTTTGGTGTTTCATATTTTTTCCGCCCAACTAACCACATTCTCTACATTCATAAGGATTTTCTTTTTGTGCTCATCTGATTCTTTCACAATCTGATGCTGCCTCTAGAAGTTAACTTTTATGTATTGTTGATGTCACTGGTATGTTTTTATGCTATTTTAATCAGTATCATTCCACCGCCCCCCTCCCTTCCAGTTTTGGCCCAGTCAATTCATGTTCTCTGTTACCTCATCTAGTTCTTAGACTAGCACATATCAGTAAAATTATACATAATTCACATAATGTTTTGTGGTGAGTGAATTCTTTAGTTTG